GCCCAGGTGGGTCTCGAACCCGCAGTCTCAGGCAATTCACTCACCTCAGCCTCCCAAAGGTGCGGGATTACAGGCTGAGCCACTGAGCCCGGCGATTTTGTTCTTCTTTACGGCTGTGTAATATACCATCGTGTATATGTACCACATTTTCTTTACCCAGTCCACTTTCAAGAAACTCACTATTCTTGACTTTTCAAAATATTAATGGTTGAATAATAAAACAAAATGTTTTGCATGCAGATAGTACACTTATTAAGTCAAAGACCTTTAGATCTGGATAGGAATTATAGAATGTGCAATTTAATGCCTTTGTTTCAGAGATGGAGCAAATTTATCTGTGTCATAGTGCAGAGCCAGAAAAGAGAGCTCAAGGCGTCTGCTGCTATTATTATAGTAATATTAATGCTAATAATGATACCACTTGCTGGGCTCCGTGACTCAGCTTGTAATCCCAGCACTTTGGGAGGTTGAGGCGAGAGGATTGCCTGAGCCTGCGGGTTCAAGACCCTCCCGGGCAACTTGGCGAGACCTCGTCTCTACAATAAATAAAAAATTAGCTGGGCATGGTAGCTCATACCTATAGTTCCGGCTACTTGGAAGGCTGAGGTGGAAGGATCGCTGGAGCCTAGCAGGTTGAGGCTGCGGTGACCGGGAGCATGCCACTGCCTTCCAGCCTGGGTGACAGAGTGAGACTCCGACTCAAAAAAAAAGTGATACCACTAATAATGATCCCTGGCATTTACTGTGCACTTACTATGTCCAGCGATGTGCCAAGCAAGCATATTTATTTTCATAGAATTCTCACGTAACTCTGTGTTATATATGATTATTCATGGAGATACTGAAGTTCAGAGACGCTTGCACTTAGTGACACCTTTCTCTGACGCCAGAGCCTGTACACATTGCAGAATACAAGTGGAACTTGTATGCTAATCCCACACATTTAAAAGCTCATGACAAGCAAAATGAGAGTATTTCCAGCACAATAAGATTAGACATACAATGTGTGCTGTGGTCTCTTCGACGCTCCATGGCAGGAAGGGTTAGGTTTCCCCTGTGACCGTCCAGGCTTAGCCATGCAGGCTCACTGGCTGGTGGCGTGTTTTTCTCTTTGAGAAGAGTTCAGTGAGGGCCCACGTGTTGGTGGGAACTGCAGCTGGGAGCTTTGTTGTTGACCTGGAGCTCACAGCTCTCAGGCCCCTTCTGGCCTTTCCCTCACTCCTTTCCTTTGGAGGACAGCCACTCCACCCAGGCCCCACCCCAAACAGTTGGCTTGGTGTTGATAAAACCATGACCAGACCTGTTCCACGTGGCTCAGCCTGGAAGGCTGGTTGTCTGAGTCATTTGCTGATGAATAGAAGACATGCAACTCTCCACTCTGTTTGCTCCTTTGTTCTGCACTGTGAGAGTGAGGAGGGTGGGTCACCGGGCAGGGGACAGGCTGGCAACGGAGGGGAGAGAGGTAGGCTGTTCTCTGCTGCCTGCGATGGCCCCTGTCATCACAGAGACACTTCTGTCTTCTCCCCTCACTTTTTGCATAACGGTGGCTGTCTCACTCATGGGCCACGAACCTGTGGCTTTTCTGGGTCATTGGGCAGACAGAGCCCTTACGGAAACTGGCTTCTTGGATCCTTTTAAAAATGCCATTTGGTATAGAGAGAGAAATAATGGGCCATGCTCTGTGGCTCGGCCTGTCATCCCAACGCTTTGGGAGGCCGAGGAGAGTGGATTGCCTGAGCCCGTGGGTTCGAGACCAGCCCAGGCAACTGGCGAGACCTCGTCTCTACAATAAATAAAAAAATGAGCTGGGTGTGGTAGCACGCACCTGTAGTTCCAGCTACTTGGAAGGTGGAGGCGGGAGGATCGCTGGAGCCCAGCAGGTCGAGGCTAGGGTGGCTGGGAACATGCCACTGCACTTCAGCCTGGGTGATGGAGTGAGACTCCAACTCAAGGAAAAAAAAAAAAAGAAAGAGAGAGAGAGAGAGAGAGAGAGAGAGAGAGAGAGAGAGAGAGAATGAGAATGAAACAGAGTGACCAGGAGCTGGGTTGGGCTAGTCGGGAGAAAAAAGAAGGAGCTTTAAGTTAAAGGATGGGAAGTAGCAAATGTGTACGGTGAGCAATTCTAGAGCTCTGATGTACAACACAATGACTATAATTAATGTTGTGCATGGCATTCTGGATTTTTGCTGAAAGAGTGGATCGTAGTTGCTTTTGCCAGACACAAAATGAATATGTGAGACAATAAAGATGTTAATTTGCTTCACTTTCATAGTCATTTTACTCTCTTTATGTACTCTCTGTCGTGTGCTTTAAATACACAAAATCAAATTTATTTTTAAACATGTCCTTCGGCTCGCCACATTCCTTCACTCCAGGGTAAGCATCAAAACTAGAGAGTTGGGCAAGAATGTGAAAGAACACCGGGGCAAATACAAGCAGCATGGGGTCCTTTGGTCAATCAAGAGGAAAATTAAGCAAGTTGGCCATGCACAGACATCTCTGAGAAAGTTGACAATGTTTTGCCAGGTCAAGTTGACAATGTTTTGCAAGGTCATTGTAACATACTTTGAAGATAAAACTATTTCTAGCCAGAAGAGGGAGTTTTTAATCTTTAATCTCACTTGCCTGCTGCCTGAAGCTAAGCCCGACTCAGTAGGAATTAGTGGTGTGGTCTGATAAACCAGAATCCCTGGGAATTACCTCCAATCTTTGCTTATGGGAATTCACGTGTCTCCATATAACACCATCTAGGGTGTTATTTGGGGATACGTGAAGTAAACTTAAGAGTTGTGACAGCATCTACAGGTCTTACTTCAGAGTTGGCTTGAAGAAAAA